TGGGCAGATCCTGCCCACTGCTCTATGCTCACTTGTACTAACTCTGTCAGTAATCCTAGAAACAGACAGTTTTTAAGGGTCTTTCTAGAAGCAGTGCACTGTTGTTTATCAGTGCTGGAAAAAATATTGATTATACTGCATTACAAAGACTTGGGGACAGTGTCAGTTATGGCTATATTGTATTTTTCCAAGAAAATTCTTTTACAGCCCCTATATTACATAATTAGAGGCTAAAGTTGGAAAAGATTTATTTAGCCAGCCATTCTCCCCCACCATGCTGAAGACTAATTGCCTTAGTAGGGCTAGGAAGAAGCCTAGCACTATGGTCTGTGGGAAGGCAGCCCCAGATTGTTTTTCTCTTTTTTACCCATATTTTTCTCATTTCTCAGGTTCAGTGTACTGCATCCCTCTCAATAAGCCCCTTCTAGCTAACCCACGTGCTTCCTCATTTCCCCTGAGAGCGAGTGTCACACCATAACAGTGCTGAGCTTCACTGCTGGAGGGCTCCGAGTGAACCCATGTCCCGCAGATCCTGATGTGGCAGGGGACGGACCACGATGTGTTGCCTGGCGTATCCAGTGTGCCAGAGTCGTGGAGCGGGCACCAGGGCCAACAGGTTCTTTTGTATTTATACAGAGATACCTGTGAGCTGTTACCAAACTCTTTCTGCTCTGAGAGGTAAAAAGAGAGCATTTTTCCACCCTTCTGCAAAAACGTATTCTGTAAAGTAGCTCCCAGTCACAGAACAATTTCCCCACCACATGCTGGAGTGTTACTTGTCTTGTTACAGTTTTAGTATGTTTGGCTGCCTGCTAGCTACAGATATCCCAAGGAAACCAGTGCTGCCTCAGCATTTAACTGCCAGCAACAGGACGTTTCTGCCACCGGCTAGGAGTCGATGTTGGTTTGAAATCTGGGGGCACACTGGGGGCAGGAAATGTGCTTCTCTCAAATTAAGTTTACAAATGCCTCTCAGACTCTCGAATATTAGACGCCAGATCCTCAGCTGTTGTATTCCTGTGGACACCAAAAGAATTGCATGTAAGGATATAGCTACCACAAATGTGTAGAGAAATATAAAGCACGTACATTTTCACATGAATATATATTTATGTTATGTAGATCATGACCACTTGGTATTTTCAGGAAGACATTTACTCCTAAGTCTACTCCTAAAACTAACTTAAAAAATGAGGTCCTGAACCTCATCTCAGTTATGTCAGGAGAAAATCAGCAGTAACATCCTTGAAGTCAGTGTTAGCTAGTGAAAGAGTTTTGCACCCACCAAAGTCCATTACACTCAGAGGCTGCAAGATCAAACCTTAATGTACACCTCACGCCATGCTGGCATATGTACCAGGGTCAAAGTATTGCTGTTGCTGCACAGTTTCCAGAGTCCAAACAATAAAGCTCATATCTTTATGTGACCTAATAAAACTAATGAGATTTCCCCACATCCTCTGAGGTTAATGTAGTGCTTTTGTCCACTTTTCACAAAAAAACGGAGTGAAGCTTTTGGCTTTCAGCACAGACTTTCAGCTATAGCCACCGAAGTACCTGTGTCCATCTTCTCCCTTCAGCTTGTGTGCAAATGCCCCAGCTGTCTTTTTCCACTTTATTCTTCCACTTGCCCTGCAATGCTGCTTTTGCAAATGTTTTAAAACACTCTGGGAAACGCATTACTTGAATAAGCATCTTGAAATGTCATATTATGGTTATATCAAATATTTCCATCCTATTGGACAGTTCTTTTCAAGTGATTCCAACTGTTTTCATTTTGCCTCGTCACCCCTTGGCACTTGGGCAGACTTTAGCAGACTTTAGCAGACAGAAAATGTTGCATTGCTCTGTATTGCAGCTCGAGGATATAAGGGTCTGGATTAGCAACATTGCCTGTTGGGAAACTGCCAAGTGAGAAAAACAAATTTGTAAATCAGAACATCTGAGCAGCTCTTTCACAGCACATCAGAATACTGTGAATTTTAAGAAGAGAAAACAAGCTTCTGTTGGGACTTATATCAGTAACTAGTCTGCAGCCTTTTAATGACCAAATGAAAAAGAAGATCCTTTATGGGCAAAGTAATGCATGTGGACTTGTGTCATTCTGGTATGTAAATCTAGATATTAAAAATAATGCGAGTGAGGTTTTAAATAGATGCTAGCAAAAGCAAATGCAAATCTAGTTATTTTTAAAGGAGCAAAGGAAACAAGAATCAGAAATGAAATCACATATTAAACCAAATATTAAACATGAAGAGCAGTTAAAGGTCAGTGTCTTAATCGAGAGACCCCATACAGTTTTGTGAATTTAATATAGCAGTCGTAAATTTGAAACCAGCACTAAAAGTGAAAGACTGTGTATATCTGGAACCAATGAAACTTGAGATAAACATTGATGCACATGAAAAGGATTTTATGATAGCATACACTGATACATTTGCTAGATTCATGAGCCTCATTAACTAGAGGTGAACAGATTATCTATATATTTAGGTTGCCCAAAATACATTTTTCTCATATTATTATCCTGGTCTCCAAAATAAAAGCTTGTGCAGCATTCTTTCCACAAGTTGTCCAAAGGGGAAAAAAAAAGTCAGTGTTAGCTGGATACTGGCACTGGTTTTTAAAGAACTGATTGATGGTGGCCTTTTAAAAACTGAAATGCAGTGGCACGTACCTCTTTTAAGGGACAAAATGAATGTAGAATTGCTTGTGGTTCTGTGGAACTCAAATTCTGCCCTGAGGAATGCGACTATTTAAAAATACTCTTTTGGCCTCTGTGTGAACTCACTAATGTCATCAAAACCATTGGATAAAAATAAGGTTTTCTTACTTTTCGCTCCTCTTAATCCTGTGGAGCCACCACAGCCCCAAGAGAGAGAGTACAGTTATTATTACTATTATTCTCAGTGGGGTCATTAGCTTCTCTTCAGAGGCTGCAGCCTTTTACCCAGGCATGGAGTCAGTGCCTATAGCAAGCAGTGCTGAAAAGGCCAAAAAAAAAAGTGAATATATGTGTATACATACACATATGACAGCTGATCTTGAAGTGTATTTGGTACAGTTACTTTTTTTTTTAACTGGAAGGAAGTTTGAAAAAGAGAGGTGATGTAGTACACCGTAACTGCTGTATCTTCTTCCTGCACACCTAAAGAATACGAAGAACCGGCGCGAGACCCTTAAGGCGTCGTTCTATTCTTCCGCCCGCACGAGGCAGGCGGGTGCAGCCGTCAAAAGGCCGTGTGAGGGCCGCGCGCTGTCCCTCCTCCCT